TCTAAGACTATCAGATAAACAAAGCAGTACTCCTTTGAAATGAACAATATGTGTTTTTACCTCTTTTTTCCTTAATTGGTCTTCTTTACTTAGACTTTGTGAGATTCTCAATGACCTTTGATTTGCTTCTGTGTCATGCAATAAACTCCGTCCAGTTCCTCAGCTGCACTGGCCAAATCTCAAGTGCTCAATAGCCACATGTCACTATCACCTACTGTACTGGGCAGCACAGACACAGAACATTTCCATCACTACAGAAATCTCTAATGGACAGGGAACCAGCAGTTAGCATAATGGCTATGTCGCTGGACTCCCATGTAGTTGACCGCGGTTCGTGTCCCAGACCCGGTGGCTTAAAACTCACGCTGGGCGCGTGTGCGTGCGTGCCCAAGATCCCGAGAGGAGAATGGAGGAGAAGGGATTGCGAAGTGACATCCCCCCTGGGGGATGATTTCTGGCTTTCTGTCTCTATGTCTCTCTCTGTCTGCCTGGCGAGCGCACATGCCCTATAGCAAAAACCTCTCCAAAAAAAAAAAAAAAAAGAAATCTCTAATGGACAGCACTGATCTAGAGTTTGGGAGGCCAAATAATATATGAATAACTAAAGGCCAAAGTGTCAGATGGACCCAGGTATAGACACCTAGCAAGTGGTCTCAGACTCAACAAGTCATTTAACTACTCCAGAGCCTTGGACTCATTTTTGTAAAAGAGTCTAATACATTCAGCACTGCAAGGTTACTGAAAAGATCAAGTGAAAATTTATACAAAATGTCTACAAGAATGTCTGACACGTAATAAATATTTGATAAACACTGGCTCTCTACTGTAACGTGGGTATTTTCTTAAACTTTGATCTTAGCATTTTTAGATCTAGTTAAGCAATTATAGAAGCAACAGTTCAAGAAAAAGAATGATACTGTAGTTCTTGCTCAAAAAGATAATGAACTCCATATTACCTTTGGTAAATGTTCTAGTTCTTACTTTATTCAACTCTCATCAACAATTGATCCTACCAACTGTTCTCCCCTTGAAACACTCTTACTTTGGTTTCTATTAATATTACACTCACCTGCTACATCTCCAATCTTCAGAATATTCTTCGGTAACTCACATTCTTTAGGTACTTTTTTTTTTTTTTTTTTTTTTTTTAAATATTAGAGATCACTGTGATTTCATCTTAGGGTTTCTATGTTTTCCAAGATATAGTCCTTCCCCTAGGCAATCTCACCCAAAGGTATAGTTTCCATTATATACACAGGTAACTCCAAGTTTCTATTTCCAGTCCATATTTCTCCCCTAAATTTTAGAACCATATTATCTAATTATTTACAGAAATTTCCACCTGAAGCTCCAAAACCACTTCAAAAACCAGATATGACAAAACCAAAAAGAACTTTGGTCTCTACTTGGCACTACCATCATCAACTCAGTTTATAACTCAAGAGTCCTCTTATTAATTTCCCTCTCCTTTACCTTCAGTCAACTGAGATTTGCTGATTTCAAATCCCATCTACCTACATAATTGGTCCATCTTCTGACTATTCTAAAAGCCTATCTTCCTAAAACCACTCTTGCTGCCACTCCTTTCCTTCAATTCACGTTATTAACAATCACAGTTCTGCCTCTGCAGTAAATCTAATAGAGCCACTCAGTGACGTTTTTAAAATCAGGTAGTTTTACCTTTCTACTGAACAAAGCATACATTGTTGCTTCTATAGTCTGACTGACAGTTTCAAACCACACATTGTCAATCTCTCTTAAAAATGTGGACTTCTGAATTGAACGGAGGTCTATCTACATGCATGGGTATAAGAAACTTGACATTTTTGCAATGGACTGAGACTTTCATAGTCTAAAGTTTCAAGCTATAATTACTAATTTAATGTTTGTAACTGAAAATATATTAATCCATTAAAAATTACACTTGATACCTACTACAAATCAGGCATTGTTGAGGTGTTCTGGGACAAAACAGAGACCAAAAACTAACAAATCCTTTTCTCATAAAAGTTGCATTACAGTGAAGAACAAAGACAAGAAACTTAAGTTAGTACATTGCACTATATGTGGAAAAGTGATAAATGTGAGGGAGAATGTTGGCATAATGGCTATGTCACTGAATTCCCATGTAGTTGACAGCAGTTCGAGTCCCAGACCCAGTGGCTTAAACTTGCACTGGATGCGTGTGCTTATGTGTCCAGAGGAGAATGGAGAAGGGACTGTGGTGTGGCCATCCCCTGCAAGGGGTGATTTCTCACTTTCTGTGTGTCTTTCTGGAGAGCACATGTGCCTGATAGCTAAAACCTCGGGGGAGTGGGGGGAACCCACACACGAAAACCCTGAAGAGTTTCTCTCAAGTTTTAACTTTATTTCACAGGACAAAATTAAGCCAAGATCCAATTTACATAGCAAAATCACAAGACTGATGATGGCAAAGCTTGCTAAAGGGAAGATAAGATGAAAATAATCCTATGGCTAACTTTCCTTTTTATTCCTTTTAAGCTTCTTTACTTAAGGTTTTACAATGGTCTCTCACTGATGAACCTAAAAAGTTCAGGTACTTAAACTTTACTAAACAATGCTATTGATGATGAACCAACAATATCATGTAACTGCATTGATTCAAACAATTTTTACTAACAGCACAGGTTTTCAAGAAAATTGCCTAAACACTGGTTAGAGCCCTAAGGATGATCGAAGTTGAATAAGGCCTAAACAGTTTCAATCTTTAACCATGGGCCCCACTACTACACAGAGATATAACAGAAAAACAACTCTCTATAACATATGTTTTCAGGTTGTATATTTAGGAACAATTTCACATTTTTAAAGAATTATTAATTATTTATTATTATCATTATTGTTACTTTGTAACTTGCTATAAGGCACATACGGCTCACCAGAGACAGACAGGTGGGGGAGGAGTGAGAAAGCATGCCGCCAGGTCCGGGACTTGAACTGTAGTTGGCCAAGTGAGAGTCCAGCACCTTAACCACGACAGGACCTGCTGGCCCACAATTTCACATTTTTCCTATAATTTTCTTCCCCCTTGACATCATGAAGAATGCCTTTATAGCATGAATATACTTACAGTAAGCAAACATTCAAATTTTACCCTACCAAAATGTTAAAATGTAGTCAAATTCTCAGGCAAAAAAAAAAAATTAAATAAATAAATAAATCACTGGGGACCAGCAGTTAGCGTAATGACTATGTCGCTGGACTCCCATGTAGTCGACCTCAGTCCGCGTCCCGGACCCGGTGGCATAAAAAACTCACTCCGGGTGCGCCTGCGTGCATGCCCAAGATCCCAAGAGGAGAATGGAGGAGAAGGGATTGCAGCGTGGCCATCCCCCCTGGGAGGTGACTTTTCGCTTTCTGTCTCTCTGTCTCTCTCGGTCTGTCTGGCTAGCGCTCGCGCCCTATAGCAAAAACCTTTCCAAAAAAAAAAAAAAATCACTGAATGTGAAACTAAATGATTGTTAATATATTTGTAAGCATCAAATAACATTATAAAGTGGAACTACAGTAAGAATTATTAATTTGTAAAAATCTCACATTTTATAAATAATATAAATTCAGATAATCAGATAGCATAGTATAAAAAAAGTTTCAAAGACAGTTTTAAAATTTCATTTCTCTTGCATAATCAGTTAAAATAGCAAAAACAAAAGGCTCACAAACTTTATTGCAGCTTTTAAACTGTATCAAAACAGATTTTAAAGCCAACCGCCAAAGCAGCAGCAGAGCAAAAAGCCGATTGGAAAGAGATCTGATTATACCTCAAGATTTTCAATTACCAATAAAACACAAAAGCCAACATGTATTTAAGACTGCATTGCATTCACTACTCTGCTGCTGACTTAAATTGTCATACGCATGAATTAACTTTTCTTTTAAAACAAGAAAATAATGCACTTAAAGTGTTTCTCCCAAAATTGGGGAGAAATTCCCAAATTGGGAGAAATTTAAGATCAGCATTAGATAAAACATTGTTATAATAAAACTTTTTCATCAGCTTGCTTAAATATCTTAGTTTACTGATAGTATGATAAAGATGTTAGTCAAAAATGTAATCCAAAGTGAATGAAAACGCTCAGCTTCCACATACCGTAGGTAACACGGTATGGTTAATAAATCGAGGGTATTTTTAAATTCAACATTTTAATTTGTGAATCGTTTAATCAAGTACTCTAAACCAGCGTCTAGTTTTAAAATAACTTTTCAAAATACATATAGGTGGTAAAACCGCTATTCAATTTCTTCAAAGCTTCAAAATCCCTAGGTCTGGGGAGGAGCGAGTGAGCAGGCTAAGTTTGTCTCCTGGCCCTTAGCTGTCAGCCCAGACAGCAGGTTAAAAAGCCGAGGGTGGGAGAGTAGTCTGAAGTTCGGAGCCCAGGGTAAAGGCTGAAGCTTAGAGCGCCGACTCTCCCATTCGTGCACTCGGGAGGTCACAGCGTAGTAAAGTTTGGTTTCACAAGCGGGCTAGGACGCCAGCGACAAAAGCAAAGTCTCCCAAGTAGAGCAGACAGCGGGGTCAGGGCGCCCGGAAGCCCAGGAGGACACGTTTCCACTGCAGGAAGGGAAGCTGGCTGTGGCGTCTCTGGCGTGAAGCCCCTTCCCGCCCCCACCCTGTAGGACCCCGCACCCGGGTGGGGGACAGGCTGCGCCGGCACAGGCGGCAGGAGGCGCTTAGGCCACAAGGAGGAAATGGGACGGGGTGCTGACAGGGAGGCGGCGACGGATCCAGCAGGGCCTCCTTCTGTGGCGGCAGGAGGAAAAGGGTCCTCCTCCTGCCCCCCAGCTGCAGCCTCTCCCTCCCAGCGGCGCAGCTCAACTTTCCTCCGAGCGCAGAACGCCGCCCGGGCCGTGAGATTCTGAAACTTTGTCCGCCCTCTCGTCTCGGAGCCGCTCCTCCCCTCGGCGCCGGCCCCTAACTCCGACTTCGCCCCGACAGCTGCCCCGGCTCACCCGTCCCCCCAGGGTCGGCCCCTGTTTACCTCAGGCCGAGGTCGAGGCGCTTGCTCCCGCGGCGGCCCCACCGCAGGTCCCTAGGCCCCCGTCACTCCGCCAAGTTCCCCAACATGGACTCCTTCCTCCGCCGTGGGGTGTTCCGGGGGGTGCGGGGGTGCCGGCACGCCGGGCCGAGTCGGGAGGCGGCGGCGAGGCGGGGGGCGGACCCCGG